ATGAGAGGTACAGAAGCGTAATTCAGATGTTGAGACTTAGTTACTTAAACAAATAGTTCCCCTGACAGTAAAGCTTTTATCAACTGTGAGATTCCTTAACCACACTGCTCTATCTTTAGGAACAGTAACACTTGGAGAACAGATCCCTATCTGTCTCTCCCACAGGGCAAATAAGCACTCTTATACTTTTCCTCAGTATAAACAGACAAGTCTTTCTGTTACTGATCCTACTAATACAGTAACCCTAGCCCTTGTCTGTCTGCTTATTCCCTATTCTAAAGGCTCACTTAAAACTTTCTTTCCCTGCCAGATCCCTACTGTAACTTCCTATCTTAACATTTCATCCTTCTGTGTCTGATGTCAAGACACTTCCCTCTCTCTGTCAAAAGCTGACAGCTTATTTCCCTCTCTCAACCGACTCCTCCCCCAATTGCTATACCCAGTCAGGAGTCAGCTTGACTCCTCCTCCTGTCTCTGCCTGCCTCCCAAGATGACAGCTACTGTCATGCAGGCTTCGGCCTTGTCGTCTTAAAGGTAGATTCCACTACACCCTCCTATTAGATATATCCTACCTTGTTCATGCCCAGCGTTTATTTTTTAACTTTTAACTACTACATTTGGCCCGGCCATAGGTTTTTAAATCCTTGCATGTTAATGTTTATATGTGATTTATTTAACTGTATTGTTTTCATTTTTTGTTTACTGCTTTCTTGTTATTGCTGTGTTGTTGGGTTTGGCCTCATGTAAGCCGCTCCGAGTCCCTTGGGGAGATGAAGGTGGGGTATAAATAAAGTTTTTTGTTACTATTATTATTAAGAGGAAAGATTCGGATTGTACCCAGAGTTAGGAGGTGTTAGGACTTGTTCCTAAGTAGAACTAGCCACAGCTGTCTTGACAGCCATCCAGCAGTCCCCAGGTTCAGGTAACCCAGGGACATGGGATAGCAGTCCCCTCTTGCCCCCTCCCCCTGTGTTGTGGCTGTCCACAACTGTGATACAACACCTACCTTTTCTTTGGGTGTCTGGCTGCTCTTAATCAGAACATGGCTTCACTAGGGAAACTGAGTGGGTGGAAAGATGAGGAAATTCCCCTCCTTCCCTGCTGCCTCAGCTAATGTGCCCCAAGACTGAGGTAGGTGGGGGTCTCAGGGAGTGAACAGTGGTCAGCATAGCTGGACATTGGGGACTCCCTGCCACCTGTCAGGCCACCAAGCATTCTCAATCTGGAGTTCAGGGTCTATTTGTTTGGTCACTGTAAAAGGGCCCATTGGGTATCAACACTACAGAGTCATAGCAGTTTCGCACCACTTTTAATGCTATTTATTTATTTGTCGTGTCAGAACAACCAGTCAAATTATATTACATTTCTAACAGAAACAAAGCAAACAAGTAGATTACAGAATTTGTGAGTATGAGAGTTGATTAAATGTCCTTTGACCAGTATCTGGCCACTTGGAGTGCCTCTGGTGTTGCTCCAAGAAGGTCCTCCCTTGTGCATGTGGCAGGGCTCAGGGTGCATTGCAGCAGGTGGTCAGTGGTTTGCTCTTCTCCACACTCGCATGTCGTGGATTCCACTTTGTAGCCCCATTTCTGAAGGTTGGCTCTGCATCTCGTGGTGCCAGAGCGCAGTCTGTTCAGCGCCTTCCAAGTCGCCCAGTCCTCTGTGTGCCCAGGGGGGAGTCTCTCATTTGGTATCAGCCATTGATTGAGGTTCTGGGTTTGAGCCTGCCACTTTTGGACTCTCGCTTGCTGGGGTGTTCCAGCGAGTGTCTCTGTAGATCTTAGAAAACTATTTCTTGATTTAAGTCGTTGACGTGCTGGCTGATACCCAAACAAGGGATGGGCTGGAGATGTCACTGCCTTGGTCCTTTCACTATTGGCTGCTACTTCCCGGCGGATGTCAGGTGGTGCAATACCGGCTAGACAGTGTAATTTCTCCAGTGGTGTAGGGCGCAGACACCCCGTGATAATGCGGCATGTTTCATTAAGAGCCACATCCACTGTTTTAGTGTGGTGAGATGTGTTCCACACTGGGCATGCATACTCAGCAGCAGAGTAGCATAGCGCAAGGGCAGATGTCTTCACTGTATCTGGTTGTGATCCCCAGGTTGTGCCAGTCAGCTTTCGTATGATATTGTTTCTAGCACCCACTTTTTGCTTGATGTTCAGGCAATGCTTCTTGTAGGTAAGAGCACGGTCCAGAGTGACTCCCAGATATTTGGGTGCGCTGCAATGCTCCAGTGGGATTCCTTCCCAGGTGATCTTCAGAGCTTGGGATGCTTGTCTATTCTTGAGATGAAAGGCACATGTCTGTGTTTTAGATGGGTTGGGGATCAGTTGGTTTTCCCTGTAATAGGCAGTAAGAGCACCTAGAGCTTCAGAGAGCTTCTGTTCAACCATCTCAAAGCTCCCTGCTTGAGCAGTAATGGCACGATCATCAGCGTAGATGAAACTCTCTGTCCCTTCTGGCAGTGGCTGGTCATTTGTGTAGATGTTGAACATGGATGGAGCAAGCACGCTTCCCTGAGGCAGGCCGTTCTTCTGTTTCCGCCATCTGCTTCTCTGGCCCTGGAACTCAACAAAGAAGCTCCTGTTTTGTAGCAGGTTTCCTATGAGGCGGGTGAGGTGGTAGTCCTTTGTGATATTATACATTTTCCTCAGGAGGAGGAGGTGGTTCACAGTATCATAGGCTGCTGACACGTCTATGAAGACAGCTCCTGTGATCTGCTGTGATCTACTTTTAATGCTGCCACTATATTCAATGGAATCTTGGGATGTGGACTTTAGCAAGGTTTTTAACTTTCTCTGCGAATCGGTGCTGATGCCACACCAAACACCAAAACCCCAGAATTCTATAGTATGATGTCAGGCTGCAATGATCCATGTGTAGATGCATCCTGTTTGTCTCTTCTCTGATGTTCTCTTGCTGATAGGCAAACAACCCTTTATCTGTTATCTGTTTTGGACAGAAGGATGTTGAAGGGTCTGTTTTGGATGAGTTTTTAAATTAATGTTTTAACTGGATTGGCTGTTTTAGCTATTTTAGTTTAATTTATATTGTACGCCAAATTGGGTCCCATATTGGGAGATAGCCAGAGCATAAATTATCTTCTAATTATCTTCCAAGTTTATGGACCTTGAACAAAAGAAAATCCTAAAAATTATATGGATGTAAAAGATACTCTTTTGAAGGGTATTCTACTATCTATGATATGAAATAGATACAGTTGTGATCTGATTCCAGAACACTGACCCACTGAAGATGATGGAGGAGAATTCAGCATAAGATATTTAGAAAGGAAAAAAGAGAGTCCTCATAGACGTAATGGTGTGAATTGCAGCCATGTCAATGTCCCTGTCTAAAGATCCCTGGCAGAAAATAAACACCACTCCTGAACTTGGTGACCTGGCAAGAAATGGGAAAATAATAGCAAAAATACTAACAGCACAATATTCCTCCAAACAGCAATAGCAAAAACCAAATGGCATTTTGAAAATGATCAAGTATAATAGTTCCCAAGTACACAACACTGCTGCTCCCACTTAGTCATCTACAACAGCAATCTGTCTCTGACAACATAAGATAGATAAAAGCATCTGTTCCCTACCAATGACTTGAATCAACACAATTACTTTAAGGTTTTTTAAAGGAACAAGTGACCCCAGATTCTCCCCTGGTAAGTCAGTAACAGCTTAGTGTATGTCACATTGGAAGAGAGAAAGCAAGAACATCAATTTCCTTCCTACACATTCTAGGCACACACTTGCCTCTCTCTATTTGCCTCATACTCCATACATATTCTTATTTATGACTTTGAACTCTTGACTTTTTTGCATTTGGGTAAAATGTCAGGTGACAACACTGAATTTTTAAGTCTAAATTTCAGCATAACAGACAGAACCAAGAGATAGGATGATCCCAAAGAGGAAACAGATGCCAAATTTAGGACATTAAAATTGTATTCCTGTCCTTATTGCAGTCAAAATGGTTTTAAAATACATGATGTCTTGCTAAGAGCAGGTACCACCATACATCAGTAGAAAAACTAAGGATTTGTTGTTCTTATTAGCATTATTTTTGAAGTAGCTACATGAAATAAAAACATAAGGACACAAATTATTTCTAGGCTATACTATATGTGAAACTTACATTAGTTTGGGCTTATGATGGTCTTTACTATGTTATAATTTGAAATCAACATTGCATGTAATGCACAGTTGATTTATCTTCCACATGCTGTTATGCAATTCCATGAAGAACACTCTCACAAGGGACATACAGTATAAAGTTGTCATGGCTCTTCTATTTGGGCATACTTCCTATCCACAACGATCAGGCAAGGGAATGTTTCTATATGATGAGTCCCCTTTTTCCCTGCTTTGCTCTCAGCTACTTTTGGGTATCAGAAATGTTCTGAATATGTTTTTTCTTTGTCTTTACTCATATGCCATTATGACGGTTCTTTTCCCAGTGCTGTGACTTCTGAGTATGTGCAAATGGCATATGTGCTCAGAACATTTCCAGTGGTGGAAACAAAGGACCCATGACACTACAGCATGGCTTCAAGATGATTCAAAACTACGATGGCTATAAAACACACACCACCAATGCATGTGTCCAAGAGAAAAGGGGAAGGTGGTGAAAGAAAATGTCTCTCCTAGCTTCCTTTTTCAAAATAAGCCTTTAATTGGACTCTAAAAAGTTCTAAAAAATCATTTTGCTTATGCAAGGTTTAACTAACCTGGTCATTTTATTTCACATCTGCATATTATTCTTTTGGAATAAAAAAAATTCTGAAACATATTCTAATGTTATTTTGAGTGAAAGGATGGGGATGGAAGAATTAAACTGTTACAATATACCTATAATGAACTTCCTTAAACCTGGTTTGTACCAATCCTATATAGCATGATTCAAAGAACATTACATTGAGTTCAACAAGGCTTACATCCCAACTGGTCTTGATACTTATTAAGTTACCTTTAAAAAAATGTTCTTACCTTCCGCTTATTAGTAGGACTGACATAAAGGTAGCTCAGAACTGTTTTCAATCCCACCTTGTCATTTAGCTTTTCATAAGTAGTACCATAATCTGTGGACCTGAAATAAAAAGAAAATATAGTTAGCTACTGTTTAGGACTTGGACCTGTCTGCCTTTGGCTGCAGTACTGATCCATTTATGGGAAGTTAACTATTCACAACTTTTTCATTCTTTGTCAAAAAGATTTTATTACCAATTTATCTCAAAGCTTTTGTATGCTTTCATGTGTGCAAAAAAGATAGAAACATGAGCTTTTATAGTATTTTAGACAATGCTTAAGAAAATGTAACAGGATCCATTTGAAGCATTGGATTGGATCCTCTATTAATCATGGAGCTACCATGTAGACATCTTCTGTGAAAGAAATAGGATAAATTATTTTTTGTGGATTCTCCCGTTTTCCTGCAGTCCTATGTATCTTCTTGAATAGTTCTCCAATACTAGGGACTAATGTGGGAAACATGAATTGGCAAAAAAGATCAGGCTTCCCTCTTTTCCTACTATAGACACCTTTGCAGACCTTATGTTCATCGTAGATCACTCAGCCACCCACTGTGAAGAGTTCGCTGATAAAATCCCTTGGCTCCTTTCCAATTTGGATGGCATAGTTATACATGTTCAGTGGATGTAAAGCTTCTCCCAGGTTGCATCTACATGTAGAATTAATGCATTTTCACAGGACTTCAACTGATGCTGATGGCCTAACAACAAAAACAAAAGACTCTGAAACAGTTGAAAACCAATTTACTAATGCCTAGCTATTACAAAAATAACCACATGAAGCCTAATCCTGCTAAGACATAAGTGTGTGTTTTCCACCTACATAACCATGAAGCCAACAGAGAACTGAAAGTTACCTAGGAAGGCCAAGAGCTTGAACATTGTTCCCATCCTAAATATCTTGGCATCACCTTAGATCAAACACTAACATTTAGGAAACACTGTAAGAACACCAAGAAAAAAAATAGCCACATGCAATAACAACCTGCAGAAACTTACTGGTAGTGCAAGGGCTGCAGATCCAAAATTAATAAGAGCATCAGCCCTGGCCTTCTGAGTATGTCTACCTTGTTTGGCACAAGTCCGTCAACTTGAAGCAGGTGAATATAGCACTGAACTAAACATGTAGGATAATAACAGAATGTCTCAGACCTACACCTGTTGATAGACTTATAAACTAGCTGGCATTACCCCCACCCCCCACCCCCACCCAATGTGCAACAGGAAGTTTCTGCCAACTGTAGAGAAATAAGGTTGAACACTGTAAAAGCCATCTACTGCATGGTTAAAAGCCTCCTCCCAATAGACTCAAATCAAGAAAAAGTTCCATGAGAACCATCACTCCTCTTAATGTCCTGCAACAGCAAGAATATACCTCTAGGCAGAAAAATCAGGCAATTACAACTGGATAGCACCCCATGAGTGTCTGCCTCTGGGGGCAAACCAAGAACGGGCAACTTGGAAGTCCCCGAACAGACTCAGAGTGGTGTTGGCAGATCAAAAGACAACCTGGCAAAATGGCTCAACCTAGAAGAACCTTCCACCTTGTGCAACTGTGGAGCAAGACAAACAATTCAGCACCTGTTGTTTGCCCACAATGCCCTGCCTTATACACAGAGGAAGAAGTGCTTCACGCTACAGACAATGCAGTCTCTGTTGCCCAGTTTAGGTCTTGCTTGCATTCCCTCTATTTCATCAGTTTTATACTAATTTATTTATGCAATGTTTTGACATGAAATAAATAAATAAAACAGCACTTTGCCATGACTCAATGCTATAGAACCACAGGAGATGCAGTTTGACAAGGTCTTTGTCCTTCTCTGTCAGTGTGCTGGTGTCTCACCAAACTACAACTTTCAGGATTTCATAGTATGGAGCCAAGGTAATTAAAGTGGTGTCAAACTGCAATAATTCTACAGTTTAATTACTCCCAGTTTTAATTAATTCTGTCCTGCCTAAAAGATGCTTTTGTGAGGCCCCTACTAAAACAGAGTATCTTGTTACTTACATAGACACTTCAGATAGTATAGTTATAACAGGTAAGGGCTTAGCATGTCAAACACATATAGGAGATAGATCTATGTGAAAGTCATGAAGGACCAGAAGGAATGACAAAGGCAAATAATCAGGAATAAAAATGAAATTCAAAATGGTGGGAAATGATATCATCCCTGGAGAGAAGCCAAACTGTCATCCTCATTTGCTAAGATTAAAATAGCTACCTCTATGCCATGTATTACTTCTCTAAGAAGATAATTGTTTATTCTTATGGAAGCATGTATTTTATACCCTATCTTTTCCCTTGAACTGTTATGCAAGGTGGCTTACAAGATTTAAAAAAGGTTGATATGATTGAAAACAAGTACTCATTACATTGTTAAAATAAAATTAAAGTCACTAAAAATTAAGACCCTTATGAATAAAAACAATTTCAAACACACTCATTCAAGGCACAGAAATAAAAGCAGGACATGGTCTCTGGATGCCTATTGGAATGAAATAATGCCTTTGTTTGTCAGCAGAAGGGGCAACAGAGAAGGGACAACCTTATTTCCTTTGGAAAGAGCTTCTGAGCCTGAAGGAGATAACAGATGATCTGGAGGCGGTGTTTACTGTTTGCCCCTGGCAGGAAGTTCAACTCTGTTTTCAATGACTTTTCTTCTACAAGTTTCCTCCTTTTCTCACACTTTATCTCTTGTGAACACAACAAGAACTGTGTTCTTCTTTTTAAAAAAGGCTGTAACACTTCCCATTGCTAGTCAGAGGCACATATAAAGGGTGACCTTGTCCCAATAGTATGTATTCAGTATGTCAGAAAACAAGAATAATGATTAACTCCTCCAGAATTGCCAAGATATCAAAGACAAACACTGCTATACAATAAATGGTTGGCAGCCATGTGCAAGAATTGTCCACTTTACACATTAGTCATAATCCAGCAACAAGAGAAAGGTGAGACGTGGCTATAATAGCCTCTCATCCCATCTCTCTCACACACATCAAAAATAATCTTTCATCAGCCACAGCTCCCTAAACCTGGCCATTTTCTAGTTGGAGGGCAGTGGACTAAAAAGAAACAAGTACACCTCCAGCTATATTTTTTTATAGATGGACGTGCTGTGGTGGCCTCCAGATGAATCTCCAGGAGTTCTCCTGAGGCCCTTGTAGATGATGTAATTACTCTGCATCTTGCTAGAGGAAAACAGCTTGATGCTTGTGAGCTGTTCTCCCCTCTCTTTACACCAGTGGTTCCCAACCTGTGGGCCATGGACCAGCAGTGGACTGTGAGAATGAAAATCCAGTCCATAAACCTCCTTCCTCTTTGTTTATTTTATTTTATTTTATTTCTGCCCCTTTCCACAGAGCTGACCAGCCCCACCCCTTTTGGTACTAATGTTGGAGAGTGGTCCCTGGTCAAGTAATGTCTGTCCAAGTAGACCTGGTCAAAACAAGGCTGGGAACCACTGCTCTACACAGAGTAAGACATGGCTGAGTGTGGGTGGCTGCAGAGGAGCAAAGGTTGGTTTGGAGTGTTGGACGATTTTGCGCACTGTGGAGGCAGTAGTGTAAGAGAGTGTGTAAGAAAGACACTTTATATGTGATTGGGAGTTGGCATTGTACCGGGTGTTTCAAAAATATGGACCCGATTTGAAATTACTGTATCTCTGCAACCAGAAACCTCCTATTACAACATGAAAAAGTGGGGCACAAATTTTCAAATGATGACTGCTAGATGCCCTTTCTCCAAAGAACCCATGAGAGCATATTTGACTCCCCTTTAAACAACTCTGTGGAGTAGGTCCGGCTGAGAGTATGAGACTGTCTCAATGCCACCCAGGTTCAGTGCAAGTTTTAAAATGAATCATCCAAGTGCCTAACTATGTGTGTTATGTGTGTATTTTTCACATGCATACGTGCATATAATTTAGGATCATATCTTACTATAATCTCTAGTTGTTTCTTGCTCCTTTAACCAGTTCCCAGCTGACTCCATATTTCTTTCACCAGTCTTGCTGCATCGTAGCAAACTGTGATCATTTATGCTAAATACTTTTTGCATTCAACGCATATAATTTAGATGCATATTGCTTGTTCAGGAAAATGGAACAGTTCCACCCACCTATTTGGAGACAGATTACAAGGTCAATTGATTGTGGAATCCATAAAATGGGAGGTATAAATCAATACTACTGGCCACCTTTGTGTCCTTTGCCAATTGGCTTTTAATCTTGAAATGGGCCAAGACAACTTCAGAAACCACCCATTTAAGAGCAGTTGGTCAGGATCCAAATGCAGTACCCATCTATCTTGGTATTGTGAGAAGGCTTATTGCTGACAAGTGACCTCTTCTTGAAAAAGAGTTTGGAATTAAGAGTTCCCTCGTGTACAAAGCTGGATACTGGTAATTTGGGAGCAATTAAATCCACAGCAGGAGACATGCGGTAGTTGCAGATTCATAGGGTCAGGCAGCACTTAATAGATGAATATGCCTAAATGCTTTGTAATGGAAATCACATGAGCGCTAACACAGTTCTTCGACCTAACCCCTCTAGTCAGGCTAATACTCTGAAGAAGCCAGATTCATCCTATTCAAGAAAAAGAATATGTAGAATCATTTGGATGTAGAGGGGGCAAAGAGGAAACAATGGGAGTGATGTTTGAATGGATTAAAATACAAAATTTAAGAGCTCACTCTCTGTTCTTTTTTGCTAGTAAAATATCTTTTTGTTTGAACTGCCATATGGCAATTAAGTACCCAAGAAAAAAAAACTTTAATGGGAAGTGTGTGCACTGCATTTTGTTATTCTTGGCTTTTTTTTAAAAAAGTACTGATGCTTTAATGTAGTCGTTTATTTTGTTGCTTTTTATTCTTTTGTATAATAAGATTTTCATTCGTATATCTTATTTTAAAAGGGACCCAGAGTATATCTCATGCTCTGGGACCCATTTAGGGAAAAGACGTGATATAAATGAAATAAAAAACAAACAAACATTAATTAAATACCTATCTAAATGCAAATTGTGTGAGGGAAAGCGATAGTTTTGAAAATCCTCGGAT